ACTCACATATTGTATGAATAGAAAATCTAAATGAGCATAGAAACAAGATATTTCAAGGAAACATTTTTCAGATAGTGGCTGAACATTTTTGCCTATCTTGCAGAAGCTAAATGACATAAAAGCCTTGATAAGATGAATATTATGTAACAAGACCATGTGACTGTGTGTAGGACCCATCTGCAAGAGAGACAGAGAAGGAGAGAGAGTGCTTGGCAAAGAGATTGGGAGGCTGTGTGCCAGAGTGGGAGGGAAAGAAATGGCAGGTTTTGAGTAGGAGGACTGAAGAAATGTCGATCTCAAATGTTCCACAACCGACTTTTCTCATTAAAAAAGATGGGCATCAACTAGCATGTCCCGATCATTTCCATTGGCTGTCAGATCCATCCTTAACGTTAAAGCTGTGAGCCCATGTTAGGCGGAAAATATTCCCTCTGGCTATCAAAAAAAGAAGGGACTTCATTCATTAATAAAGCACATTGAATTTAAAAGTTGAAAATCAGCAGTATAATTCAGCAGTTAAAATGTGTCAGATATGAGATAAGATATGGCACAGGCTTATTGTGAATACAAAGTCAGTGCAAATTTGTGATCACATTTGCTAAATAATTGATTATTATTTTATTATCATTATTTATGATGCCCAGTAAGTCTTTCATACGAATACAATTCTAATGGACAGATCTGGTGATAGTGGTGCACTCAGAGCATAGACTGGACACACCAGACTTCAGTAATGAATGAATGAAGTGGGCTGCAGACGACTTCATGTTGGTGTCTCCGTCATTATGGTCCATCAGTTGACCACATGCTCAATATATAAGGGAATTACAGCCAACAGACTCTCATTATCTTGAATGGACAAGTATGACTAATACTGGGCTTCTGTTTGCTCTCTGCTTTTGACCTTTGTATGAGTTCAGAATGAATTCCTTCCTGTATATATATATATATCCATATACTGTGTAGGTCCAATGGTGTTCAGTATTTACCTGCCAACCAGACGGAACCAGGGGAAGCGGTCATAAAAGGGGTCCCCTCCGGTCATCACATTTTCACAGTCTTCAGTGGTATTGTTGGGCACATCAGCAGCGCGATCGTACATCTCTCTCATGAGATCGAGCCTCTGCCTGCAAGAAACAGCAACAATTGTCACATTAAGTCATTGTGCTAAAAAGTAGCACATCATGGAGTTAATAAGAAAATTTCTTCCAGTGAATGCTGCGCTTCTTGTGAAATGTATCCCTCACAAAGACACTATAAACATTTTTTGTTCCTACTGTTTATCATAGGCTTGTTGACAGTTGTATTTGTGTGTGCAATAGTGGGATTAATAAAGTATATCTTCTTCTTCTTCTTCTTCATCTATATTGTCCTCAGACTTTTAAACCGAAAAGACTTGGTGTTCATGTACCTTAGTTTTTCTAATGTCCAGTAGTGGGTGGCTCCATTTTTCTGATCCTGCACCTCCACGGCCACAATGGTGCGTGGGAAGTGTCGTATCTCTCTGTCCTTAGTTGCCTCTGGGGGCAACAGGTCTGGAGGCAGCGGGGAGTAAAGAGTGTCTGTGAGCAGCACAAACTGGAACTGGACCTGCATGGGCATAGAAAGCAAAGGTATGGTCAGGGAGACATACTTTAACATGAATCAGTGGATATAATGGAGTTTAAATGAAAACAGCATGTTGGACCTTCTTCTTGAGTTCCACACTGATAGCATTGGCCTCCTTAAGGAAGATGGCATTTCCCCATAACAGGTCACGGAGAGAGGTGAACTGGTAGCTCCGCCACTTACGAAAGCCCCACACAGCCAGCTCTCTTTCCCTCTCTGTCCATTGCACTGTGAGCAAAAAGAATAAAACACATTTATTTGGTGAGGATTTGCTCACCACTATGTAGACATGTATCTGTGTCAAAGAATGTTTTCTACCTTCTTCTTCTGGCTCTTCCTCTTCTTCAGTGGCTTCTGGGTAGTAACGGTCCACTTGCTTCTGAAGAGCCTCCAGCTTGCTCTCATAATCCTAGACAATTGATTGTTAACAAGCCATTTAGGAACTGATATCAGTGAGTGGCTCATTAAACAAATACTAGTGCATTTTCTGTAAAACATGGAAACATATTGTGTGACTTATTTTCATTTAAGATACTGCATTAGAGGTGATGAGCTACTTTTAACAGCAGATTTAACACAAGTTCAGATAGATCTAGCTACCTGTGGCATTAATGATTAACATTAAGAGCATACAAAGCTGCTCATCACTGTACCAGTCTTTGCTGCTCCAGAAGGTTGTTGGCCTCCTCTCTTTCTTTGCGATACTGGTCCTCCAACTCCTGCAGCCTGAGGACATAAACATAAATGAACAAAACAGGTTGGACAGAAGTGATGAAACTTAAGGTTCTGAGCAGCATGCCATTCACTGTGCACTGTGCTGCAGATTTGTATAATGTAGTAGCCTTTAAAACTTCAATTACCAGTAGTTCCTAGCTTCCTTATCTGTTGTTCCTAACTACAATATGGTGGTGAGGACCCATCCTCTACCTTCACTGTCTTTCTTGAAAAAGTAAAGTTGAAAGGCTCACTATTTTCCCAAAGTACCTCTGTTCCATTTCCTGTTTCATGTCAATGCCCTGTTTGTCCAGCAGCTCCCTCTGGGCGAAAGCCCAGTCCACGGGCTCAGCAGGGGTTTCAGCACATGGGGTCCTCTCCCTCTCAGCCCTGGCCTGCACTGGGTGGTTGAACCGAAACACATGGCTCTTCCCCAGGATGATGCGATTTCCTTTATGAGAATAAGAAATCTAAATATGTTAATGTAAACGCATAAATAGAGAATGACATACATGTTACTACTAAGATTTAAAATGCGTAAGGAAAGTTCAAATTCACAGAGCAAGTGAGCTAACTGACCTGATTTGAGGATAGTGGGCTCAGTCACTCTCTTTCCGTTGACATAAGTCTCAGCCTCTTCACAAGGCTCTAGGACAACCGCTGCTTAGGAACAGAGAAGGCAATGAGACACTTCTGTCTGTCAATATTTAAGTCTGATGTACACAACTACAAGCCTGTGAATCAAGACAAACATCACCCACTTTCTCCCATTGGACCTGTAGAACTGGTAAAGGTGCAGTGCTCGTCCTTAATGAAATGGCCACTGAGGACTATATCCTGACGACTGCTGGCGTCTACACGACCTACCCTAAAAAATAAAAAGTGATGAGATGATGTCAGAGCAAAAAGTATTTAAAAACGTACTGATTAAATACTACATGTCAAGAGAACATGAACCGGTTTATATACCAGTATATTTGATCAGAAAATGTTTTACAATATCTAACCTGGTGATCCCATCTTTAATGTAGTACAGCAGGCACTCAGACATCAAGGGATCCTCGTTGAGGTTCACCAGATGAGGTGTCTGACACAGAACAAGAAATAATTTACTAACTTAAGAAATTAGTAAAATTGTAAAAAAAATAATGAATTATCCATATGTTATTTACAATATAACATATGCATCCAGTGCACATCAGAGAGCTGAAAATAAATATCTCCCAGTAACAAACATCAAACAATCAGCAATAGTTGAAACCATGCAGTCAAATTAACTCCCTACAGTTTTACAGCATGAGTGTTTAATGTAGACCCAGTCAGATGTTTTGGGGCTGCAGGCAAACAGCCATAAATCACCGAAATGGGGGCACTACCATTATCATTCCCCCCATGTTTACACCCATCACTACATTCAGAGAGTGTTTGAAGTGAGTAATGAAGTAGATTGAAGATAACACTTAATGAAAAAGAAAAACCCTCGACTGATCTGCCTTGGCAAGGCTGTTGTTGAAGTGACACTCAGAGCACTCAGAGAAAAAGACAGCTTTAAACACTTCACAGCTACAAACCTCATTGGGGGAAAACAGCCCAACTGTGTCGATAAACACAGGCTCGGGCTTTCTAGGGTTATTGGAGGGCTTTGGGGTAAATAAACAAGCATTTTAGTGAATAATTGATATGGTAAGTATTAGATCACAGATGATTTTTGGAGATGATATTTTCTTACCTTCTTAGGAGAGAACACACCAACTGTCCCACCATCTTCTCGCATTGCTACACCCATTTCTGCCAGCAAGGCCTCTCTGTGGATGAATGTCAGACTCAGTATACCAAGTGGCTGCATGATTTGTCCTTATGTCAAGATGCCTCAGTCATCAATGTAGTTTATATGAAATAGGTTTTTTTGCTGCACAAATTTAAAATGGTTCCTTTTTCTTTATAAGTCAGTACAGCAAAACAACCCCACTGTTTCCTATTTGTTGTTGCTGTAAGCCTGTTGTCTCTTTGTGTTTGTGTTTTCTCACAATTTATTTGTTTGTTTTTTAAGCAAAAAAATAATCTCAAGAAGGATTTTACTAATGAAATTAAATAAAGTAAAATAATTCTCACCTTTCCATTCTAATAGCTTCTGTTCTGCGAAGTTTCTCTTCCCAAGTCTCATTGAGTTCAGCAATGATTTTCTCTGTTTCCTGACATTTGAAAAGACATATTTATTTATTTCAAGAACAAGTCTGGTGAGGTGCTCTATATTTTTATTTTTGTTAACAAATCCCATGAAAAGCCCAAAACCAATAATGAACTGATCTCATGAAAAAGTATTGCCTGTGTAGCCAAAGCTGGATATATCTTATTCCTATGTGCCATAGAGCTCCTTTTGGCCAAAAACTATTAAAACACACACTAAACCATAAATATTTACTTGAGCACCAAATTCATAACTGAAAATGGTCCTCAACAAATGCACCATTTAATCCTGTTTGAATAACGTTTGTTAGAAACTGCAGTGAGCCACTGTTTTAGGAAATAGTTTAAAAAGGAAACTTTAGGGGGTTTAAGGCAGCAACCATGAATCACAACACCCCCAGAGTGAGTCCAGCCTGGGGCCTTTATTGCCTATTATTCCCCATCTCTCTCCCCTCACTTCTGTCATCCTTCTACTATTGATTTTCTAATACAGGCATAAAATGCCCCCAAAATATGTAGAGATTTATGGCATCAGTAGGAAAAAATCATCCAGTCTGGGGAAGTCAGATAGTATTGAGAAACAGACTTTTGGTTTTGGTCTAAGATAGAATATTTCCTGCCTTACATTTTACTTACTGAGAGGGTTATGAGTTAAAATACTAGTGATACTGAAGATTTATCTGCATATGATCTGACAATACGCAGATGATGGAACTGTAACTGTAGAGTTTGCTCTCCAATATTCACCTTCAGTCTCTCGATGGCCTCTTCGCTGCCTGGGCTGAACATGATGCGGTCATGCAGGCTGGCAATGGATCCTGCGCGGCTGGACAAGGCTGAGAGAGACGGAGAGGGACTCATCCCTGTCATGGCATTGGTCACTGTGGAGAGATCATCCTTTTGATTCACAGCTTGGCCTTTATTGTTATTGTTCGTGTAATCGGATAGGTCTGTCAGGGTGGGAGGGGGCACGGCATATGTACAGGAAGTGGGGTTGGGGTAATCGATATAAGGAATAAAGAAATGAAGGAATGTAAACAGATAAGGAAGAGAAGAGAAGAGAGAATAGAAAAGAAGATATGTGGGCTGAAACAACTCACAAAACGTCACAAAGAGAAATTTGAATTGCAATTATACAAGCGAGGGCAGCACCGGGGGAAAGCCACGCACAGAGAGGACCAACCAACCAAGATGCAATAGGGAGGCCATCCAGCCATAACCAAAGAAAATGCAGCTGTTACACAAAAACCTCAAGCAGAGCATCATATGCAGGAACATTCAAAAACAAGAAAACAAAGATGCCATCTAAATACTGTTCATCTGCCATTTCAAAAAATCTTGTATGAGACACGGGTTCTATTGCTCACTCCCAATCAAGCATCTTTCACCACAAAAATAAAATTAGTCATCATGTATTGAAAATAAAGCTCATAAGTTAGGCCGCCCTTTCTGCAGACATAATGACTCATTTGTAATAGGGTCTAATTTCCTGCGGAGAACATTGGAAAGCCAGAACTCTCAATTAAGATGCAATTGCATTTAAGTGTGCTTCTCTAAAATTAGTAATGTCAAACAAATTGCTGAAAGTAAAAATCCATTTCTCTGGCAGAGAAATAGAAATAGAGTGGTATGTTTGTTTGGACAGCCTTGAAACCTAAGTCCTCATTGGACCTTTCTGAATCCCAATTTTTATAATTTCTATTTATCAAAATAGTCTACCAACAACCCTGATTGTGTTCCTTGTTTTATGTTCAATGTTTTATCTTGGCACTGTTGTGGCACCACGAAGGCCTATAATAGATTCTACAAAATAAAGAACATCAACCCTGCAGCTGCTGCTATGGCAACACAGAGCTATGAATTGGGAAAGTGTATCACACCCATCCATCTGGACAGGCTGTTGTCCGCCAAGACGGATCACATAATCTCGCCTTTGCAGTGCAGTTAATGAAGTCCTGAAATATTCAAAGACAGTGAAAATTTATCGCAAAAAATGAGATGACTACCTCAGAGATCCAGTATTATGGAAGTGATTATACTCTGTGCCTCTAAAGGCGGCATCATCATCTTATGTTTTCTGTTATGGTTGCCAACAGAAGGCGATAAAGTGAGACAGACCCTGCCAGGGGGATGGGAAGCTACAGTTTTTACATCAGGGAAATTAAAGATTGGGATGAAATATATCGCATTATTGTACACAATCTTCCATATTTATTGCTTTGCTGCTTCATGCACAGTTTAGCCCTGCCCCACCGATGCCACAGCTATAAAGCCATACACAGATCTCTACAGCACCATGACATGGCACATTTAGATTAGAGCCAAAATGACAAAGCATGAAAATCACCCCCAGACCTGGACTACATGCTGTTAATATTGCATTAACATATAGCTACATTCATTTCAATGCAGCTCTCCTAAATGAAACATTTAAAACTAAATTCTTTACAATATTGTGGTGCTGCAGAGAACACAGAAAGCTATTGTTTACTGTCACAGCAAGCACGGGTGATGCTAAGCTGCCACAAGAGCAAAAGCAAGAGCCAGAAAACACACATTTCAAACCCTCTATATCAGCACCAGATGTTCGATATGCTGGGAGAAGAGAAGATAAAGAGTGACAAAGAGAGAGAGAGAAAGAGACAGCGTAACACCTTTAGATAAAAATGTTCATGGATTTAAACATGCACTTCTTATTTGCAGAACACCTGAGCAGACTACTCAACACAAATTAACATCAGTTTAGCTCCACTGCTCTATTTGCATTTTCATTTCTGTGTGAAGATGCGTTCATATGTGAACACATTTTCATCTTGTTTACAAGGAGACCAGGATTCACACCTCTTTCATTCAATGAAGAAGATGAAATTCGCTTATTGTTGTTGACCTGTGCTACTTGAATAAAAACAAGAAGACTAAGGCCCTATTCACACTACTCCGTTTTAGTTTACAAACAGAGAATTAAAACAAATACGATCTCTGTCCACACCAGCGTTTTAGAGTTGATCTCAGTCTACATTAAAAGAGTAAAAACGCACATCTAGTGGCCGTTCGGGTACACTGGGCATACGCATGCCGGTGTAAACATGAAGCAGTCTCTTCCGTAGTTGCAGAAGATTTGGCGAAAGAATAAAGAAATGCAGACGAAGCATCAGACCAGATTTTTTTTTGCATGCACCACTAATGAGCTGGGCTAGGCTACTGAATGTAACACGGGAGTGTGGTGGCGGAAAACAGACTGGGAGTCATCGCAAAGGAAACGGCGACATGCACAGTACAAGTGTAGGCAGATAAGTGTTATTTGCACGGTACAGAATATTTTAATAAAAAGACCAACTCAAAAACTCTGTCAGTAGCATCGTTCTTCTGCTTTACATGACTTATGAGACCCAATCAGAGAACCTCTGTTTTTGCCCGACTTCACTAAAATGCCCTCCGGAGCTTTGAAACGCAAAACGGGGAGGCAGCGTTTCCAAACTTCTCCATTTTAGGTCTTCGTTTTCGCCGTGTTAGTCTGGATGGGAGGTGCAAATGTAGCAAAAGGTCTCCGTTTTAATTTGAAAACGCAGTGTTGTGGATGGGGCTCCATTTGACGTCCTACATTTCCCATAATGGAACTCAATGGCATCAGACTGTTATGTGCTAATGTTAGCTAGCTTGACATACTAGCTCCAAAAGCTAATACTTGAGAGCCTGCCAACACTATTTCCAGTCCTGCCTGCTTGTTTTTTTTGCACAACATGGGAGTAATCTGTACGTCTGGACCCACTGCAGTCTAAAGAGAACCAGTATCTGTTTATCTCCATTTACAGCTTCCTATTGATTTTTCTGCACTGGCTAATTTGCTTTGTGTTCTATCTGAACACACATCAACACACACAATGTTTGTGAGCACGGAGAATAAAATGTAGTGCTTGTGAGGGGAGCTGTGTGGGCTGAGGTGAGACTGAGCGTATCATTGAGAATAGTGTGCACACAGGATCTGAGACCATTACAAACACTTGAAATTAAATCTATAGAGAGCAATGGTCTCACAAATCCAATAAATGATCCCTTACTCTCAATGATGTCACCCAGGCCCTGGGCATAGAGGAGATCTTTCAGACGAGACACCTCCTCCTTCAGCTCGCGAACCAGTCGGTTGTTGGGGTCCTCGTTGATCACAGCGTTACAGCGAATCTGTTTGGCGCGGTCTGCATACCTGCGGGTGCAAGGGAGGGATCATTGGGCATGCTGACACAGGTGAGGGAGGAGACAAAAAGGCACACACATTCACCATCCCCCTGACATTACACATCCACAGGATTCTGCAGCCTCGCATTGTAACTCAAGAAGGGCGTTTGAAGTGTAAAACTGATGCAAGCCGCGTAGGAAAACGTGTATCACACAACACTTAAGTCTCACTGCCATCAGTTTCCTTCAAAGCCACATTCAGCAGCGGTGTGGGATGAAAAAGATGCAGTTTGTCTGCTCTGTACCTGAGTGTGCTGAGGGTCTCATCGTAGTTGATGTCAGCTGGACTCAGGGCAGCCACCATCGCAGTACGAGAATTCCCCCCTGACACAATTAAGACAACACTTTGGTCTCAGTTTGTCCAGAACTAGTTGACCACTGACTTTTAACAAAGAAATAAATACTGTGTTCATACCCAAATTTTCTCTCAGTAACCAGGTGAGAACCGAATCTCTGTAGGGGATGTGGCTTTCCACTTTCTTCTTCTTTTTATTCTGTGTATTACATTAAATCTAAAAATTAAAATCAATGCATGTGATGGCATTTAGGTAAAGGTGAATTAAAAAAATTATAAATTACCTTATTCGACCCAGAGTCCTAAAATGAAGTAGACAGTAAAATGAACATGTTTATCCTGCAGAACAGCTTTATCTCACAATGTGCCATATGAAGATGTAATACATACCACTTCTGCCAAAGCAGAGATGACTTTCCCCAGTGTAGTTAGAGATTTGTTGATATTTGCTCCTTCCTGCGATACAACAAGAAGCAGAGAATGATATTCACATTGAAATGAACTTCTTTAATATGCAAATATATATATATATATATATATATGTCTCTTATCATCATTGTTTCCTTATAGGGTAATAAAATGTATTTTGTGTTTGAATATTCACAGTGCAGTTGAGAGAAACATTTCACCTTAAGCCTGGTCCCTTTGGCTCCAGTAGAATCAGCCCTCTCACTTCCCGCCAAATCCACCAAACTTATTTTGCTGACCTGCAACAGAACATCCACTAAATAAACTGCAAGACATTATCTGACAACTAAAAAAGCTAAAGCTAATCATCTTTATTTCAGAGACAGTTTTCATTAAAAAATATTACCTTTTCATTACAGCATGACCTTCAAGCAATCATTGATTTCCAATTTACGACAAGATTTAAATCTGTGTCATCAATCAGCTCATCGACAAGCACAGGCAACAGATCAATGTAAACAAGTTCACTCAGGGAGTGATAAAACTACCTTTTCAGAGGTGTTATCAGTCTCAGCATCATGGCGTTTCTGAGTGAATATAATGTTAAAGACAGCATGCGAGCGACTGCTTGTCTCATTCATGTTGGTGGCAGCCACAGTCCTGTAGAAACAGTGAACACATTATTAAGGAAAATGTGTCTCTTAAGATGACGGAGCAAATTGCAAATCCTACTATTTATGTTGCAGGCGTGACAAACAATCAAAAAACAGAGTTCAAAGGCCAAATGGGTACAATATAAATAATCAACCATAAACCCATAATAAGAACTTCTGTCTCTGATTGTGAGTGTCGGCACAGCTATAGTGTGTGATCCTTCTGGTATGTACTGTACATTTTACTAAACCCTCTATGGCAACAGTGCCTGAATGATTGAACAGCTTCTCACCTGGCCTTGTTGCCAGAGTCCATCAGGTCCTGGATGTCATTGTAGGAGGTGACAGCCAGCTTAGACAGGTCCTCCACATAAGGCCCCATCAGAGGATGTTCTCGAACACGCAGGTTCCCTTTATTTTTGGGGTTCAGTAAGTCCCGCACACGTTCACAGTAGATTTCCATGTAGCTTACCTGTTTAGAGTTATAATATTAGCTTGAGGTTCAGGTGTACAGCACAGACAGTGAACCTGTATTTGTCTTAATTGCATTAGCAGTATTAGTTTTTGTGTCTACCTGTCCAGGGACTAGAGATGGAAATGAGCAAGTAGCTAAATCTGGGACAATACTTCTCTTCACTTTGTGTGAGATTAATGTTTTTGTACTTGGGCCCTGACAAATAAATGGAATAAACTAAACAAAATCATAAACTAAAAGGGAGGAGCTGATGACAAGGGGCATTGATGCTTACCTCCACAGAATAAGACATGCTGTTGTCTGTATTGTCATTGATCTTAGTGAAAAGGTCTTCACACAGCTGGAAGGAGAAAAATAAAAACATGATTTCTACAGTTGTAAAATCTGAGAAATCAGCTATCCTCTGATTTATTATCAGCACTGGTCAAATCATCATAAGTCGGTACCAGGGGAATGATTCCTTGTTGGTCCTTGACATCCTGTTTCCCCATCATGGTGTAGGACTTGCCAGCGCCTGTCTGACCATAAGCAAAGATGCAGACGTTGTAGCCCTCAAAGGCGTGCAGCAACATTTCCTCTCCGATGTCTTTGTATACTTGCATCTGAGAAGCATAATTGACATCCTCGGGCTGTGGACAAAGATGAATAACCACCGTATAAGTCTTACACTTTATCATATAATGTAAAAGTGTAAGTGTGCGCGAGTGTGTGTCTTTGTTGGGGTGTCTGTACAACATTTGCGCTGTGGGGGTGCAGAAAGAGTTACCGAGGTGTGGGACCAGTAGGAGTAATCAAAGTTGAAGCTCTTGTTGTCTTTGGCCTGCTTGGGGTTGATGATGGCTGAAAGACAGGACAAGGAACACGGGTCAGAGGGAGGGTGAGAGCTGCCCACGGGAAACTCTATCTGAGCTGTGTCGGTGTCATGTTGTGCTAATAGAGCTGGGAAGGCCTTAGTCGCCACCTCCTCTTTATGTACCAATATCACCTTTAGTGATTTGCGCCTTTGCACTAAAGCAAAACATGATGACACTGCTGATGTATTGCAACAAAACACTTTTTTGGAGGACCAACAGAGTGCTGAGACAATCTTTTTTTCATGAAATGAAATACATATATCTGTTATATCAGTTGCCATCAAGCAGGAAGCTTCTGGTCAGAAACCTGAGCAAACGCGCAAGTCCATTAAACCTGCATTCTATCGAACGGCAAGCAGGGGGCGACACTTCTGGTTGCAAAAAGAAGTCCGGTTCCATTACAAATAATGGTAAAATGACCCTACTTCTCAGCTGATTTATTACCTCAGTGAACACTTTCCTAATGAGTTTATGGTCTCAGTCGCTAGCTTCAGGTCTTCTTCAATACAACAATATGTTCATTTAGTAAATTCTGGTCCCATTTAGAGGAAAATAGACCAGAAAGCAGAGTATGCTTCAGGACAGGGATATCTATGATTGACAAGTCGTTACCATGGCAACCTGTCAATCAGGCTAGGGTAACTCATACCCACGGCACTGTGTAATTTAACCAGCGCTGTTGAAAAAGCTTATTAGGAGCTGGCTGTTCACTTTCTCTGGTGAGTACATTTAGTTTTAAGACTGTTGTTCGCTAGACAAAATGACAGCTAAGGTGAAATACAGATGCAGCTAGTTAAGCAAGCTAACTAGCTCCACAAACGGCTCCACCGTTAGCTCCACCGTCACAAAAATCAACATGGCGGCGCCCTATTGGACAAACTCGAGGCTTCAAAACATGGTTTAAAAATTGCAAAATGCCATTTTAAAGAAACTGAATCTACAAGATTGTATAAACAACATAAGCAGTATACATTTGCAGGCTTTGATGAAATAATAGAGGGACTTACTGCTGACCACTGATACACAAGTGAAGTGTTTAGCTTTAATTTCAAGTTTCAAGGTGACACATAATGAATCACTCTGTAAACATCCAAACTTGTGTACACATGAGAGAATAGGAATATCAAAAGCAAGAAAATCTTCAGTCTGGCTCCACTGGTGCTATAGCATCATTACACACCAAAAAAAACAAAATTTCTTGATAAAAAGAAGACACATTTTCACTATTCTCTGTTTTCAAATGTAGGTTTTGGCCTGATGATGGTGCCAGTCAAACGACCATGTTGTTGTGTACCGGGTTTCTCTATCTACCAGTGGCCATTTTAGGACAGCTCAGACTCAGCTTGTCAGGCTCAGCTCAGCTTTCAACAGTCTCAGCGTGAAACAACCATCATCCCTGAGCTGTACTTCAACAGGCTCAGTAGTGCGATGTTATCCTTCAGAAAAATTCCACCTCAGTGAATGTTTTTCTACTTTTTCTACTCAAACAGTAAACTATGTTTTGCCCATTACACATTTTTTAGATATAGCAAAATTTACAAATATATATATATCTCACACCAACGTGGCTCGTCCCCAAGTCCCCTCCCTGTCCACTCACATACACACTAAAAGAGGATCTGACTCAAAAGGAAATTCAAATTTATATCAAAAAAGAGAGTTCCAGTAGCAGGACCACACCTCAATCATGCCACATCCAGCTTTCCTGTAAACACCCAATCCTCTCCTCCACTTTCGCTCTCATATTCTGCGCCCCTCCTTCCCACTCTTCTTCTGTCTCTTTTGTCTTCCTCTCCTTCCTCCTCTCTGTACGGTCCTGAGGGGGTCCATCATGCCTGGGTGCTACAGCGGATTCCCCACCCAAGCTTTTCCACAACACAGCAGCAGACCAAAGTCTCGCACACAATCATTTTCGTTTATAATCATTTAAACATTATTAAAATAACGAGAGGCAAATGTAAACCATTCTGACTTAGTCAGACTACTAATGGTGTTTCATTTCTGATTTAATTTTCTGATGTGTTGGCGTGGTCTCCCTAGATGACTTCCACACCCACTGTAGCCTTCTAATGGATATATGATGGTCAGTGTTTTTTGTGATTCACAGAGAATTGCAGTCTAAAAAATACCATTTTGGTCTGGTAGATTTACATCCCAGGATCACCACTGATGTCTCAAGCAAATGTTCGTAGTACATTTATGATTGATAAAATATTTTCCTACGGATCTCCGACCTAACTTGATATTAGATAAGTCTGCTTCATGACCCTTTTTGAGCAAAACTGAGGTACTCCCTCCCTCCCTTTATGATGATGACAATTGACCACATGAAAGAATAATATTCTCAAAAAATCAAGTTGAACCAACTACAATGGGGGTTTTGTAGAAAACTCCTTTCAATTTACAATTAAAGCCTGTATGATGGGATGCTACTGTCCGTTCATTCGCATGATTTAGAGAAACATTTTACAGTTACAATTTACATTGTGTAGTTAAACATAAACGCAAAGTACTATTGTTTTTCTTAAGGCATCTATTATACTCAAGTTTTCCAATCAAGAGTTTTTATGTGAATATGCCAAAACCTAGTAGCGTGCCCACCCAAGAAAAATAGTGGTGTGGTAATACCAGCTATAAAAATGCTTCCTCCCTGCTCCCAGAGGTCCAGACACCATTTTCTCTGCTAATGCAGATGTGGTCGATAATAGAGAAAAAGGCCCAGGGCTAAGTACACTTTCAAGTAAGTGTACACACTACTATTTCCTCTCTACACTGGTACTGTACTCCCAGCTATGAAATGTAGGCCAGTGGCTGGGTTTCGGGTTTCAGGCCCATTCCTCACCATGACAGAAAGACGAGGCTTCATTTACCGGGCATGATTTGTCCGGATACTCTGGAAGATGGCCAACTATGAGCATGCTGTAGATGCACTACAGACTCACACAGTCCTCTCTTTCATATTTATCCAATATTATTGTCCTTAAATACATGATGTTTACTGCTAAGCACAGCTACAGAATCAATTTCACTAATCAGCTGGAAATGCTTTCCACAGTGCTAATTTCTCCCACTGTGCACTGTGTGTCTTCTGCAACAAATGGTCATACAATAATATGTTGTAACATCAGACATCACTCTGAACGTTGGTGTTGTTGGCCATTACAAAGCCAGTCCGATCACATATTCAGTAAGTAAGCTGTGGCTGTGCATTTCTTTACAGTAAAAATAATATAAGATAAGATAAGATTTATTTATCTGGTGTTGCAGCAGCACAAAGACAGAAATAAGTAGAATTGATGGCTTTGCACATGTCCTAACTAACCACTTTTTAAAGAAAATGCAGTTTCAGTGATGAGGTGGTGCAGTTGAAACAGTGAAAAAGTGTAATGGTGGGTCACTGCAATTTGTTTACAATATCTCGTAAAAAAAACAACAACAACCCATTATGTTTGTTTTAATACTGCATTTCTGATATGCAGCATTAACAAACATCCCTTCCATCACTGAAGAAAAAAGCCCTCTTTGAAAAGCCTCTATAGGTGTACACACATATATATGTATATATTAGATATATATTAGATACACATTATATAATGTGTATCTAATACAGCCTGACAATTAATGAAGGTCCCACAAGGTCTCAAGCTGCCACGAGGTAAAAACAAGAAAGAAACTCAGTGGTCTTCTTGGTAAATAACACTGCCTTGGTTTTATAAAATCAGGACTCTATAACAGAGGAGACCGATCAAATAAACCAAATCTGAAAGGAGACGTGGACAACTTTACCGAACCACTAAAATGAAAAATACATCAAGATCTGTCTATTACCAAGAAGCAGAGCCCCTGCAGTACGACATCCTCTCGTTGCTTAGTCATCTCTGGTTTGTGGTATGATTCATACAAGATGACCCCCCCCCCCCCATAATCCAGCGCTGGAAAGAAAAGCTCTCAGATAAAGTAATTACTTTAGAGTAGCAGTGATTGGCAGCATATATGAGGGTTAGACATGAGGCAGATCTGCCCATTCATATTAAACTCAGCAGCTTACGTGACGTCACAGTGGTCACAGCTCTCCACCTGAGGCCAGTTTTAGCAGCATTTTAAGCACACAGCATGTCTACTCATCATAGCCCCCTTTACTACCTGTCTTATCTTTTTATAATGGAAATGCTTTTTAATTACGGGGTGCTGAGTTTATAGATGACGGCAGTTCTCTAAGTCACGTCATGGAGGGCAAACATGATTAGACTGAATACATCAGCAGCTTAATTTTCTTCTGGCCGTGTGCTCGCAAACCTCGTCACCACAGGTGGTCAGGAGCGTATGCACGCATCCACCATATCTACGCTTTAATCAACATAATGTTTGCACATACTGACTTCTTCTAGTGAGATACGTAAGTGTACAGTACACCACTGATATTCCCACTTACATTTACAGCAATCAAATTACATCTTTGGAAGAGAGAAAAATAAGCAGGAATCATTCATATACTGTATGTTGTATGCAGTTTTAATTAATTAGCTAACTTCTTGAAAACAACTTTTATTTTCATTATTGAATAATTTATTTTCTTGACTGATTAACTGTTTAGTTTATAAAATGTCAAAAAATAAAAGTTATCAAAATTTTAATGTCTTGTCTGAGTAATGGTCCAAAACCCCAAGATATGTTTTTTAATATCATAAATGATTTTGTTTT